ATTCTGGATTAATTGTAAAGGTTTGATAGAACTGGCTGGAAGACCTGCCAAGAGAGCATTGCAATAGTCCATTCTGGACAGAACAAGAGCTTGAACAAGGAGTTGTGAAGCATGTTCCGAAAGAAAGGGCCTGATCTTCTTTAAAATCTGATCTTCTTCTGAAATTTAGTGCTAATTCAGAAAATACAGTCTCAATTAAATTCTGAATAGTGCACAACCTTGTTTTACAGCATTTATAACAATACTAAATGTTAATTCTGACAGTTGTTTTAATAAAAGTTTCTTTATTGTTATATAGTTAAAGAGCGCAGTGACCGTGAGCAGCAGCAACAGAGAGAGGATTGTCTGCACATTCGCTCCAGACTAGATGTTGCTCTGAGCGAGTGTCAGAGAGAGAGACAGGTACTAAAATAGAGAGGAGAGAATGAGAAACTGAAGGGCCCACACTGAAAAGTTTATAGGAAAGCGTCTGCACAAATAAGTTTTGCATTAATATACTGTATGTCTATTAGTGAGGTGGTTCTCAACCAGAGGTCTGGGACCTACTAGAAGGCCTCATCACAAAAATGATGATTGTAAATTTTTCTATTTATGTCATGCTCTTTTTTTTTTTTTTACTATTTCATTCATTCATTCATTCACTTTATTTATAGAGCACTTTACAACTGCACCTGCAGACCAAAATGCTGTACAATAAAAAAAAAAACACTTCATTAAAACACACGACTTAAAACAACACAGATCCTACTAACAACAAAGACTAGCCCACCCTCTCAAAGGTTAAAGACAAGAAGTAGTTTTTGACTTCAACTTTAAAAACATTCAAAGATGAGACTTCTCTAAGTTCCTGAGGAAGTCTATTCCAGAGCTTCGACCCCACAACAGCAAAGGTCTGATCCCCTTTTAACTTTAAATGAGTACGAGGGACAGTAAGCAATAATTGGCAATTATTAGATCTTAGAGACCTAGGTGCTTGACGAACAGCAACGAGCTCAGACACGTAAGCAGGGGCCAACCCATGCACTGCTTTAAAAACATACAGAAGAGTTTTATATTTTATCCTGTAGTTCACTGGTAGCCACTTGAGAGAAGCTAAAATAGGAGAGATATGATGACTTTTCTTAGCACCCACTAGCAGCCTAGCTGCTGCATTCTGAACTAATTGTTAGCGTGAGATAGTGGTCTGACAGGACTCCACATACAACACATTGCAATAATCCAAACGAGACAAAACAAAGGCATTAATAACCTTCTCTAAGTCTTTAGACTTAGTCTTTACATATCTAAACATCCTCTGGCAGGGCCAAAAAACATAATCTCAGTTTTACTCTGGTTCATTTCAGCAGATTTTGAGATTCTGAAGCAGATTTGTGAGTAAAAAAAAAATCATTTAAATTCATTGGTAATAAAAAGTGTAAAGCCTGAAAGTGACGTGACATGAGGTGACCCATACTTGGAATTAGTGCTCTGCACAGCAGTGAACACACACACACCGTGAACACACACCCAGAGCAGTGGGCAGCCATTTTTGCTGCGGCGCCCGGGGAGCAGTTGGGGGTTCGGTGCCTTGCTCAAGGGCACCTCAGTCGTGTTATTGAAGGTGGGAGAGAGCGCTGTATATTCACTCCCCCCACCTACAATCCCTGCCGGTACAAGACTCGAACCCGTAACCTTTGGGTTACGAGTCTGACTCTCTAACCATTAGGCCACGACTTCCCCCCCTGAAGAACATTGAGCTAATGAAACGTAATTAAAGGAACAGGTCACTCAAAGATGAAAATGTAATTTATTTATTCATTATCCCGGGAGACCTTTGAATATTATTCTTGACAATGTGGAGTCTTGGGTTCAAAAAGGTTGAGAACCACTAGTGTGTTGGTGTGAGAGAGAAGGAGAAATCTCTTCCCCAAATAGGTACGTTATGGCTGTCTAGTTATTCATGTGTATATGTACTGTATGTATCTCCTCACATACATTTGTAGGAGAAGTTGGTTTTAAAGCAGCAGTTATGCGAGTGCAGAGAGGAGCTGCTGCAGCAGAAAGCATTTTGTACTGAGCTGGGCACTGCATCTTGCACCCTGCTCTGGAGTGCGTCCCAAAGGGAGGAAGCAATCAAAGACATACTGGCTGCTGTGAGTTTGTACCATTTTGGGAGTGGCCAGGTTGTTTTGTAAGTGGGAGGACATGAATTTTGCTTTACCTCAACCAGGTAAGAAAACTCTTCATACACTTGTGCATCCACAGGGTAAACTGGAGCCCTTCCTGAGCATTGCAGGTCAAACCTTGGAGACTTTCATCAAGTTTCTGAATGACGAGGCAAAGCCACAACAGAGTTGCAACTCAAAAGAGCATCATTTAGTTCTGGCTCTGGCTGGCGTTGTTACAAGTGAGGGCACTGAGTTTGTTTTTACTACTAGTTCAATCTTACGGTCATAACTTATTTATACTCTATATTACCATCTCAAGAACGAAAGAAATTGTCATTTCACCTGTTCATTGGTTTTAGATATAGCTGCTGTGTCTTGTGGACGGGACTTCTTATCCTCTTCTGCCCACATCCTGTTGGATACTTTGTTGCAGCTGCTGTATCTAATGAAACCAGGAGTGTTTCCAAAACTCAAAGTGTATGTCACAACTTTAAAATACACATCCAAATATTACTATTTATGAATGTACCAAATTTTTTTGCACACACATATATATGTAAACATTTTTGAAAATAGTGATCACACATGTGCAGATATATGTACATATATGGCATTTCCATCTATGAAATATATTGTCATATGAAGTAAAAAAAAAAACTGTTAGAAACTAAAACAATTTCATATATTAACATATATATCTAGCACATACAAATATGTCTGTTTTATACATTTTTGGATATAAATGTCTTGTAGATGTATATCCATACATCCTAAAACCCCTCAATGCATGTTGATATTATATAAGTAAATCTAAAAGATAGACATGTATTAGACATGTTAAAAATGTATTACTAAATATATAAATATGTTGTTGAAAAAAAAAAACATCATACATACACTACCGGTCAAAAGTTTGGGATCAGAACGATTTTTAATGTTTTTTACAGGAGTTTCTTATGCTCATCAAGGCTGCATTTATTTGATCAAAAATACAGGAAAAAGTGTAATATTGTGAAATATTATTATGATGTAAAATAGTGTTTTTCTATTTTAATATACATTAAAATCTAATTTATTCCTGCGATGCAAAGCTGAATTTTCAGCATCATTACTCCAGTCTTCAGTGTCACATGATCCTTCAGAAATCATTCTAATATGCTGATTTATTATCAGTGTTGAAACTGCTGTGCTGCTTAATATTTTTTTGGAACCTGTGATACTTTTTTTCAGGATTCTTTGATGAATAAAAAGTTAAAAAGAAGAGCATTTATTTAAAATAGAAATCTTTTTTAACATTATACACTACAGTTCAAAAGTTTGGGGTCAGTACATTTTTTTCTTTCTTTTTTTGAAAGAAATTAAAACTTTTATTCAGCAAGGATGTGTTAAATTGTTAAGAAGTGATAGCAAAGATTTATATTGTTAGAAAAGATTTATATTTTGAATAAATGCTGTTCTTTTTAACTTTTTATTCATCAAAGAATCCTGAAAAACGTATTGCAGTTTCCAAAAAAATATTTGGCAGGACAACTGTTGCCAACATTGATAATTCTAATAATAAATCAGCATATTAGAATGATTTATGAAAGATCATGTGACACTTTATACTGGAGTAATGGCTGATGGAAATTCAGCTTTGCATCACAGAAATAAATTATATTTTAAAGGATATTAAAACAGAAACCATTATTTTATATTGTAATAACATTTTGCAACATTACTGTTTTTTTCTGTATTTTTGATCAAATAAATGCAGCCTGGATGAGCATAAGAGACTTCTTTAAAAAACATTACAAGACTTACTGATCCCAAACTTTTGACCGGTAGTGTATATTTTTACTATGGGTATTGTATATATGTAATTAACAATTAAATGTGAGAGTGTACATATAAAACTTATATATCGCTGTATATGCAACATATATGGCAATATTGAAATAATAATGAAAACCTTGCTACTTTTTATTTAATGGTTACACCACATTACAATTTAGAGTCATGAATAAAAATGTTTTGAACTAGATTTTGAAAAGAAAAATTTCTTTATTGTGGACACTTACATGATGTTTATGCAATATGCAGTTTCTTATATGAAGCTGAGTTGTTATTGTTGTATACCATATTCGGAATAAGTTGACGTATGTGGCTCCTTCTGAAGTATGTGACTGTTTATTTTTGTGTGCAGATTGATGTTAATGGCTCTATATAACATCACTATTAGTGTGAATGGGCTGAAGCTCATAAGTGAGAGCCCTGGACTTCTACCTCTTCTGAGCACCCTTCTGGAAGGTGTGTATGTGTAAGTTTGTGTGTGAAGATTGAAGGTCTTTGCACACTGATTCCGAAATCCTCATCCGAAATTTTTGCACATTAAAAAATAAATATGACCTGTTGTGCCAATCACGTTTACACACTGCCTCCGAAACTTTCGTCCGTCATAAAAAAAAATCGGACCAGGTTCGATTTTCTGTGTTTTCGCATCCGTAGCAAGCATTTTGATAGGAAAGGATGACAAATACAAAAAAAACGCATACGAAAATTTCGGACTCAGTGTTCAAGGACCTTTAGAGTTCATTTAATCTCAGTTAAATGCCTTCTCAGCGCTGTTCATAGAGGATTATATTGAGCTCTCTAACCCCCTGACATGCATAGAAACTCTCTCAGACACTCTCTCTCTCTCTCTCTCTCTCTCTCTCTCTCTCTCTCTCTCCCACAGACCCTGACCCAGAAGTGTGTCTGCAGTCATTGAGGCTCCTTCAATCCTTACTGCTGGAGAGAGAGGTCATGTCACACATGACAACTGATTTTCGGAGCTCTTTTCCACTCAGTCGTATCCACCATCTAGCTTCAAGCCGCCACCCAGCTCTCAAGCAAACAGCTCAGGAGACACTGGAAGATTTGGCTAGCTTTACCAACTCCCAGACTAAAGACTCAGAGAAGGAGCAGTGAAGCCCAGGTCTTCATACTCCCTTAAAAAAGTAGGTCTAGGTCCAGCAAACCGCATACTAATTCTGAGACTTGGCCATGTTCAAACCTATAGAGATTTCCAAGAATTAGTTTTCCTTCCACAGTTTGTTAGTTTAGTCATCTTGTACAGTCTTAGGCCCTGGAAGTGTTAAGAAGTGACTTCTACAGAACTTTCTAAGCTTAATTTGTGACGTAAATGCTGAACACCTCTATAGATAGATGTGCATGTCTTTTATAAAATGCCAGAAAAGCTGTAACACATGCTTTCATACTCAGTGTGCCCTTTATATCACTTTATGCTCTGGATGAAATTAGCATAAAATCGATATGTGTGCTGCCCTTTCTAGCACACCCACAACATCAGCTGTCTCTGTAGTCCAGCCTACGTGGAATTCTAAACTTAAACATTGGAATGATAAATCATCCCTTTACAAGAAGCCTTACTTAGGATCATTGTTAGGACACAACACAGCAATCAGCATATATGGGTCAAATGTCACAGAAAAAAACTAAAGTGTGGCCCTTTGGGAGTCAGCAGCAATAATGTTAGACATGATGGTGTCTAGTGTATCTAAAGTTAAATGCAGTTAAATTATCTTTTAGTTGATGTTTGATTTCTAAACTTTGACAATTAGAATGTTCTTAAAAATGTTTGATTGTTTTCATTTTCATTGATTGCTTTGATTGTGGTCTTTCTCCATTTCTTTTACACTGTTCATATATCTATATTATTGAGCAAAGATCTGTTCAGGTTAAACAATTAAAGGTGTTACAAGTTTTTTTTACTCTGATGGTTTGTCACACAAGAAGTTCTGTTCTGTAAAAGTGTTTGACACCAATTTGTAAGATGTTCATTTTCCATCTCAGAGACATGTAACAATTTAAAGGCCATCGACCAGGTTTTTTTTTTTTCTCTCTCTCCTTTATTACATTCTAACAACCTACAATGTGTGTTGCTTTTTATAAATTACATAATCCTGTTTTGTAAATAATTTTTTTGGGACAAATCATTAAAGCTGAATGGCTGTTTTTTTGAAAAAGCTGTTAATGGGAAGAGGAAAGGAGGTCATTTGATGAGATGAAAGCTGATGTCAGAGTTAATCAGACTAAAACATGAGGTCTTCGATGGGGGAAATTGTCGAAGAAAAGATCAGTTTAATTGATTGCTATAATGAGAGTACATAGTCCTAGTCCTCATGTCAGTTCAAATTTTACATTCTCTCTGTGAATGCATGTACAGGATGTGTCAATTTTTTAAAATTCACTTTTTAAGCAGAGGGAATCACATCATTCAAGAAATGCTGAAGAAATGGGGATATGTTTAAAGGCTAAAAAGACGACCATAACCACCAACGTCTCTTGTTTTCGGTATTGTCTGCAGTCAATTTAAGTAAAGTGAAAGTCCATTAGCAGTCTTTTCCTTAAAATATATGTTTGTACAGTTATAGATAGACTATGCTTTAGTGGGATAGATGAGACTGACTAAATTATGAGATAAAAGAGATAAAAGCCCTTGTCGGTGAAAGCTTGATGAGAAAGCCCCTTTCATTGACGTATCTTTTCTGCATTTATTTTTCAAATTCATAACTCTTTCTTTAGATATTTTATTCCAGGTTCATCAGCACAAAAAAGTTAGACAGGTTTTTATGCATTTTACGCTGTTTATTATTAATTACAGACATCAGATGTTATGTTGCATCAAAAATACCCCTACTCAAATGTAATATACGTACATATTAAACATGCATATATGATATATTGTCATATGAAGTAAAAAAAAAAAATGAAACCTATAGAAAAGGGAACAATTTAATATATAAACACAGTCATGGCCAAATGTTTTGGCAGACATAAATTTTGTGTTTTTTCAAAGTTTGCTGCTTCAGTATTTGTAGATTATTTTTCCACATGTTTCTACGGTATACTGAAAAACAATGATAAGCATATCATAAGTTTTAAAGGCTTTTATTGGCAAAAAAATATATATAACGAGTCAATATTTACAGTGTTGACCCTTGTTCTTCATAACCTCTGCAATTCACTCTGGCATGCTGGATATTAGCTTCTGGGCCAAATCCTGACTGATGGCGATCCATTCTTACCTTATTAGTTCTCGGAGTTGATCAAAATTTGTGGGCTTTTGCTTGTCCACTCGCCTTCCGAGAACTGACCACAAGTTCTCTAGGATTGAGATCCAGGGAGTTGCCTGGCCACGGATCCAAAATTTCAATGTAATGATCTTCGAGCCACTTCTGTATCACTCTTGCTTTGTGAAATGGTGCTCCATCATGCTGGAAAATGCACGGATCATCACCAAATTGCTCATGGATCGTTGGAAGAAGTCGCTCTTGCAGGACGTTTTGATACCATTCTTTATTCATGGCAG